AGGTGGGGGAGGAGGGGAGTGGGGTGCAGGATGGGGAGTGGCAGACTCGGGGAGCCAGACAGAGTTTAAGGCGAAGAGGAGGGTCCCTGAAGGGGCAGGTACCTGAAGCCCGAGGCCGGCAGGAGGGAAAGGGGTCCGCTGTTGATGAAGCATCTGGGGCTGCTTTTTCCGCGTCGCAGTCCGTTCGCAGAGGGCGACGGGGATCGGGAGGCTGATGGTGAACGTGGTGGAGGGCATCGAGCTGAAGCCCTGCCGGTCCCACGGTAAGGCCCCGGGCGGCCCCCGCACCCCATCACCCGGCCCGTCAGATGCCATTTCCCTCATCCGGCGTTTCCCTCCGGAATGGTTCCCAGCACTTGCTCAGAACCTGTTCTTTTCCTTGACTCCCTCCCACGGGCCGCAGTCTCGGGCCAGAGCGAGGAGGGGAGGCCTCGTGCCAGTCCCGCACCGCGATGTGCTCTCAGTTTAAGTGATGCCGGGGCGGGAGCTGCTGTTGGTTCTCCAGCCTCTGCCACTTGTTAAGCGTGTAGTGAGGGAAGAGACATGGCTGCAGAGGGCAGCTCCCCGAGAGCCCGCCCTGCTCCCTGAGAGCCCGCCCCGGGCCCCGAGAGCCCGCCTGGGCGGGAGTCAGCAGGCCTGTTCGCTCCAGGGAAGAGCAACCCGTACTGCGAGGTGACCATGGGCTCCCAGTGCCACATCACCAAGACCATGCAGGACACCCTGAACCCCAAGTGGAACTCCACCTGCCAGTTCTTCATCCGGGACCTGGAGCAGGAGGTGCTCTGCATCACCGTGTTCGAGAGGGACCAGTTCTCCCCGGACGGTGAGTCCGGCTGGTGCTTCCCCAGAGCAGGTGGCTACAGAGGCCGCACCCCGAGCCTCGGCCAAAGCCCCTGTGATCGGACACACCGGCCACTGAGCGAGAGGCGCGCCGCGTGTCCTTTGGTGGCGTTGCCGCTGGTCAGGGCGGCCTTGCTGGCTGCTCCACGCCTCCCCCCTGTTCCAGGTCGGCTCTGAGCCTGGAAAGAACGGGTGTGGCCGGCAGTGACCGGGGCGAGGCCCACGCTGCCCTTCCAGTTGAAGGGTCTCACGGAGGGTGCGTTGCCACCGGGACTGGCGAGGGCGTCCACCTGGCAGCGCAGGCGCCTCCGTCTGGGCCTTCGGGGCGTTCCTGCTGCTCTCACTCTGACGGGGGAAGGTTGGAGGCTGCACTGGTTCCTTCCTGAACAGAAATAGCACGACACAGTGACACCCTACTGGGTGTGTGTTGAACCTCCTGGCATTGTTTCTCTTTTAAACATTTTATACTTAAATATATATATATTTTATTGATTTCAGAGAGAGAGGGAGGGAGAGAGAGAAACATCAGTGATGAGAGAGAATCGATTGGCTGGCTGCCTCCTGCACACCCCTCACCGGGGATCAAGCCCGAAACCCAGGCATGTGCCCTGACCAGGAATCAAACTGAACTGTGACTCCTGATTCAAAGGTTGATGCTCAACCACTGAGCCACGCTGGCTGGACCGTCCTGGTATTGCTTTTACATCAGAGATTATCCCCGTGAATTGCATGGGCGGGGGGTGGGTCAGGGGGGCGCATCAGCCCGTGTCTGTCCGCCAGGCCAGCTTCCCGAGAGCCTGGGTCCTAGGAGACCACAGCCAGTAGCTGTCAAATGCCGGGGGAAGGAGCTGCTGGTCCGAGGCCTGTGGCACCATCGTGTGTCCCATAGACCTGACAGGTTCAAATGGCTCACGCCCGTCCTATTCTCATGCGGACACTCAGTGTCTGACGGGCAGAGCGCGCCCCGGGGGAGCGACCGCCCAGCTTCGACTCAGACGTGCTCATCACGTCCACGGCAGGTGGGGCGGCTCCCGTGACCCCTGTGAGTGCGGGGCCTCCGGGCAGCTGCAGCCCGAGGGAGGTCCGGGGGTGGGGGCCGCGTCTGCATCTCAGTCCTTCCGGACGCTCCTCCCTGCCCACCCCTCCTCCTCTGCTTCCTGCTCCGTGGGCCACCGAGCCGTGGGCTCCCGCACGCCAACCTCGCTCCCTTTTCGCAGGAGGAGAGGACGTTCGCTGGAGCCCCCCCATGCCAGGTCCGCGCCTGGACGAGGAGGAGCCCCTCCCTGAGCAGGCCTGTTCGCTCTCCTTTCAGATTTCCTGGGTCGGACGGAGATCCGCGTGGCCGACATCAAGAGGGACCAGGGTTCCAAGGGCCCGGTGACCAAGTGTCTCCTGCTGCACGAAGTGCCCACGGGGGAGATTGTGGTCCGCCTGGACCTCCAGCTCTTCGACGAGCCCTAGGGAGCGGCCAGGCTGTGCCAGGGTCCAGCCGGCAGCCGATGCCACCGGGACGGTGCTGCTCTCCTAAGACCAGCGTGCGGGGCAGCCACAGGCCAGGGGACCGCGAAGAAAGGCCCTTAGTGACGTAGGAGTAATTCTCGACAATCCTCTCTCCCAAACAACCCCCCATTTTATGGACCAAAACTCTGTTTCCCTCTGTCCTCACTGCAGGCCTCAGCGCGACGTGGAGGGGCCTGGGAACCCCGCTGCCCGCCGGCTGGGGGCGCCTGCGCCGGGAGTCACCGGCAGTGTCTGCAGTTTTGGGGAACTCACGTCCCCTCCTGTCTCTTCCCTCTGCCAGCCCGGGACCCTGGTTGTTTAGAAAAAGTTATGATGGCCCGGCCACTGTCTAGAACCTCATTCCCCTCTGTGGTCCTGGCTCCGACCGGGGAGCCGGGGAGAAGGCCTCCTGCCATCATCCCAGCGGGCGGGTGGGGAGCCTCCTGGCCCCTCCAGGTCTTGTACGGATCGTCGGCGAACATGCTCCCTGGCTGCGCTCGGTGATTCGGTTCTGACTCCCAGCAGACGTGGGAGATGGGGGAGGAAGCCTGTTACCTACGGCTACGCCCTGGGATGTGTGGCTGCAGCCGTGGAAAGGCTGCCTGACGCACCATGGCGTCCTGGTCACTGGCCCAGGTGGCGGCTCTCGGCTGGGGGCCCGGAATTCACTGGCAGTGTCTGCAGTTTTGGGGAACTCACGTCCCCGCCTGTCTCTTCCCTCTGCCAGCCCGGGACCCTGGTTGTTTAGAAAAAGTTATGATGGCCCGGCCACTGTCTAGAACCTCATTCCCCTCTGTGGTCCTGGCTCCGACCGGGGAGCCGGGGAGAAGGCCTCCTGCCATCATCCCAGCGGGCGGGTGGGGAGCCTCCTGGCCCCTCCAGGTCTTGTACGGATCGTCGGCGAACATGCTCCCTGGCTGCGCTCGGTGATTCGGTTCGATGGCCCGGCCACTGTCTAGAACCTCGTTCCCCTCTGCGGTCTCGTCTGACACGCTGCCCTGGCTCCCGGGGAGCCGGGGAGAAGGCCACCTGCCGTCATCCCAGCGGGCGGGTGGGGGAGCCTCCTGGCCCCTCCAGGTCTTGTACTGATCGTTGGCGAACATGCTCCCTGGCTGCGCTCGGTGATTCGGTTCTGACTCCCAGCAGACGTGGGAGATGGGGGAGGAAGCCTGTTACCTGCGGCTACGCCCTGGGATGTGTGGCCGAAGCCGCGGAAAGGCTGCCTGACGCGCCATGGCGTCCTGGTCGCTGGCCCAGGTGGCGGCTCTCGGCTGGGGGCCCGGAATGTTTCATCGCAGTCACAGCCGGTGGCCGCTCCGAGCTGTTCCTGCTCGAAACCCGGGCCCTGAGCTGAAGTTTCCCCAAGAGGCGCCCCCGGCCTGGAAAGAAGAGGGAGAGCCAGGAGGGGTGGGAAGCTATGAAGGGTGTGTCGTGGGTGGGGTCAGAGGAAGAGGGAAGCCTGGTCCGCCCTCCGCAACCCACAGCGGGCCTCTCGCAACCGAACCCCCGTGCTCCCTGCCAGGCAGGTCGCAGGACCGCGTGGCAAGCTGTTTGGTGGGAGTTCTGTGATTTTCCTCCTTAAACGTCAGGAGCTGGGCTGGTTGGTGAGATAACAACTTGATTTGCTCAGGACACCTGCGGGTCCTGTTTCGTCCGCAGGTTGCTGTTCTCAGAATCCCGGTTCGTTGACATGAGATGTTCTCTTGGTCCTGGAGTAGCTCCCCGTGCCGGGCGGGGTCTCAGACGTTGGTTAGGGCTGTGGTGCTGTCCCGGGGATGGCGGCAGCTCTGGTCGGGGTCCCCGCCGCTGGGATCTGATGTGTCACCATTGTCCGAGAGCCCTGCGTAGCGCACGCGATTTTTAAAGTGAGTGAGTGTGTGTGTGTGTGTGTGTGTGTGTGTGTGTGAGTGTGTGTGAGTGTGTGTGTGTGAGTGTGTGTTGGAAGGGCACCATGTTTACATTTCATACTTTAAAAAACAACCCATTTTATTATTTATTGGTTGGAGATAGTGTAGACTTTTGTATCAAGAACAACAGACAGGTGTGTGTTTTAAACGAGCAGGTGTTCCCTGTGGTTGGGAACGTTCCCCTCCATCGCAGTCTGGGCCGGTTTCCACGGCGCATGCGTTTGTCAGCGGAGAACACGGCGCCCTGAGGTCTCTGTCCTGTGAGGCTGTGAGGAGCGGCTTTGAATTCAACCCAATAGACGTGGAGCTCACGCTCTCCTGTGTCGAGAGCCAGGCAGGCGTCCGGTGCGATTGGGGGACGTGTGGCGAGGGTAGGAGAGTCTCAATGGCTATGGGCCGGGTGGACGGGGCCGCCGTGCCCACTGCCCTGCTGTCCTTCCTCTTCTCACTGGCGGTCTCTGCGTGTCCGCGTCGGACATCACTCCCGCGTAGTACGATGTGTGTGCGATGTGTGCGCGACGACAAATGTCCTGTCGCCCGTTAGGTCCGCGAGGCTGCCCGCCCGCCCGCAGAGTCCGGGGCGGGAGTTAATGTCGCAGAAGTGACCTGTGAGCCTGGTTTCCCAGGTGGCTGTCCTGGGCATCTGCGCGCTGGCCTCCGGGGGGCAGACCTGCGACAGGGCTGGGGCTCAGTGCCGGGGTCTGTACTGTGACCATCCTGATCATCCTTGTCCTTCAGGGTGAGTGTGGCTGGCCGCAGGGCTGTGACTCGTGGCGCGTGTCGAGGGGAGAGGCACGTGGGGGTGCGTGGAGCCCCCGCCTCTGCCCCGTTTCTTCCCGTCTGCCTTTTGGGCGAGGCTGCACAGACGCAATGTGTCCCTCACCCATAGGCACCTGCGCCCTGGCTCCCTGCTCCTCTCCCCCCCCGCCCGTCCTGCCTC